CTCCTCTCCTCTCCTCTCCTCTCCTCTCCTCTCCTCTCCTCTCCTCTCCTCTCCTCTCCTCTCCTCTCCTCTCCTCTCCTCTCCTCTCCTCTCCTCTCCTCTCCTCTCCTCTCCTCTCCTCTCCTCTCCTCTCCTCTCCTCTCCTCTCCTCTCCTCTCCTCTCCTCTCCTCTCCTCTCCTCTCCTCTCCTCTCCTCTCCTCTCCTCTCCTCTCCTCTCCTCTCCTCTCCTCTCCTCTCCTCTCCTCTCCTCTCCTCTCCTCTCCTCTCCTCTCCTCTCCTCTCCTCTCCTCTCCTCTCCTCTCCTCTCCTCTCCTCTCCTCTCCTCTCCTCTCCTCTCCTCTCCTCTCCTCTCCTCTCCTCTCCTCTCCTCTCCTCTCCTCTCCTCTCCTCTCCTCTCCTCTCCTCTCCTCTCCTCTCCTCTCCTCTCCTCTCCTCTCCTCTCCTCTCCTCTCCTCTCCTCTCCTCTCCTCTCCTCTCCTCTCCTCTCCTCTCCTCTCCTCTCCTCTCCTCTCCTCTCCTCTCCTCTCCTCTCCTCTCCTCTCCTCTCCTCTCCTCTCCTCTCCTCTCCTCTCCTCTCCTCTCCTCTCCTCTCCTCTCCTCTCCTCTCCTCTCCTCTCCTCTCCTCTCCTCTCCTCTCCTCTCCTCTCCTCTCCTCTCCTCTCCTCTCCTCTCCTCTCCTCTCCTCTCCTCTCCTCTCCTCTCCTCTCCTCTCCTCTCCTCTCCTCTCCTCTCCTCTCCTCTCCTCTCCTCTCCTCTCCTCTCCTCTCCTCTCCTCTCCTCTCCTCTCCTCTCCTCTCCTCTCCTCTCCTCTCCTCTCCTCTCCTCTCCTCTCCTCTCCTCTCCTCTCCTCTCCTCTCCTCTCCTCTCCTCTCCTCTCCTCTCCTCTCCTCTCCTCTCCTCTCCTCTCCTCTCCTCTCCTCTCCTCTCCTCTCCTCTCCTCTCCTCTCCTCTCCTCTCCTCTCCTCTCCTCTCCTCTCCTCTCCTCTCCTCTCCTCTCCTCTCCTCTCCTCTCCTCTCCTCTCCTCTCCTCTCCTCTCTCCTCCTTTCTTCTCTAACTTTTCTTGATTCTTCCTTGCCCTAATTATTTCCCTGTTTCAGCTATTGAGAGCATGCAGTATAAAGCCATTTTGCTTACTTATAGATAAATCTTCAGCTAAACGGCTTAAAGGAGAAAAGGAGATCTCTGCTTCCTCTTTGGAGAAAGAGGGGAAGTTGATCTGGTATGATTAATTTGCATCAGCTGAGTTTCTTTGTGAAGAATTTAATTCTGTCTTCCTTACCATTTTTAAATTTAATTTAATTTTTAAAATTTAATTTAATTTAATTTAATTTTATTTTATTTATGTGTTTGAGATTAGATTCACATTAGAGCAGAAGAAATCACAAATGCAGTAAGTAGAAGGTTATCAACATTAGCACACAGGTGATGGGGGCCACAGCATAGCTAGCTGGCCTAAATTCAGTAAGACAAGGAGAGTGTGATGGACTGCAGTGTCTGGTTCAGTCCAGGAGTCCTGCTTTGCTGGGATCCATTCTTACAATGGATGACATCAACGGATGACATCAACTTTGGGATCCTAGTCAAGATCAAAGGACTAAATTACTATAAAGGTGATGAGGGTTTTCAGGCCCACAGTCCTTAAAGATACTGAGGTGCTCAACTATCAGTTAACCCAGGACAAACTAAGTTCTTAAATACCTTTGAAGATTTAGGCCAATGCTGTTAAAACTCCTTTGATCATCGCTTGATCTTGCTCATAGTTGCACTAAAAATTCTTAACATGCATACTACATCTCTGCACTGCTGGAGTTCCCAGGTTTGTGGATTAAACTGCTGTTAAAAATGCCCGTCAGGATCGCGTAGAAGATGCGTACCCCAGCCAATCAGGATATACCACCAAAAGTACTTCCTCTCTGAAAAGAAGGAGATGACCAACAGAGTGTGAAGATACAACCCCTCCACCAGGAGCCAGAAGAAGTTGGCCATGATGCAGTACTGGAAGAAAACCATCATGACTTTGCAGCCTACCTGGAAGAGAAGAAACAAACAGTGAACTGCAGCATATTTCCATAGTAAACCACACCAAATTACCAGTAAATCTTGCTTTGTGTTTATCTGTGGGATTGCTTTTTGCAGCACCTGAAGCCTTTGTGGAATGAGCTCTAGGGTAGAAAGCCAAAAGCCCAACTAAGCTTGCTTGGGGTGGACATTCTTGATACACGTTAACCCCTGCATGGAAAGTGCAGTGTACATCCTTGAGAGAGCCAGCTCAGTTCTGGATGCCACTTGACTCTGTGAGCCTGGAGATGCACTCAACCTTGCACACCCTGATGCGCAGTGACAAACTGTTATGCTGGACCATGATCCGTACCAGCATTGTGCTGCTCTCTGTAGATTTTGGATGAACATCTGTGGGAAGCTGGCTTAGTGGCAGAGTGGATGCCAAAAGGTCCTGGTCTGATGTGCAGTCACCAGCCTCTCTGCTCTTCCAGGCATGGGTTTGTGGGGCTGAGCTGTGAAGCAAACCACTGCACTGGTTTAGAAGAACCCTCCAAAAAGGTGCTACTTTGAACTGAGAACAACTCAGTGACTGGTTTAAGGTGCAGCCAACAAACATTTGATGTAGCATGATGAAAGTGATTTGCACTGGAGAGTAAACAGGAATGCATGGGAATTTCTTACACTATTTTTGTCACCGAAGTCAGTATCTTGAAGAACTCTGAGTGACTTGGGCATGATGGTCCTCCCCATCATTTTCAGTGGGGCTGCCTGCTAGTATTATCTGGCTCCCTCAACCCAAATAAATGAAGTCTCTGACAAACTGATTTCCCAGGATTAAAAAAGATAACGAACAAAATCTGTGTTAATTAGCCTGTGAAAGCAAAGTCCAACTGTAATCACTCCGTGGTCTGCTAGATACTGCAAAAACTGAAGGTGTTTGAGATAGGGGTTTGAAGAAAGCCAAGTCTATATAGAATTGTGAATACTCAGTTAGGAAAAGAAGGGCTGGGAGGCATATTTTTAAAATAAAAAAATGGATTAGAAGGAGAAGCAGGGTAAACTTTAATGACCATGGATAGATTTGATTGAATTGGAAGGGGAGAGATCTGAAAAGGGAAGAGGATTGTTTTTCTTCAGAAAATGAATAATTAAAACCAGTAACTTGCTGTGTGATTTCACTGCAGCACAGATAATGGGAACAGTTGCCTTACAAAAGAAAAAAAAAAAAAAAAAGGGGGAAATTTCTTTCTGACACTTAGTGGCCAAAACACATTGCAAAACACCTGAAGGTAGAAATCAGCTGCCCAAAGAAGTATGTCAGCCTTGGCCACTCCCCCAGCACACACCCCCATCCTGCCTAAGCATCCTTGAAATGTTGACTTGACAATAGCCTCATTGTCTTCAGTGAGTCTACTTGGATAATAACCTGCACTTACCAGGGCAAGGGCACAAGAATCTGGCTGCTAGCACCCTCTGGTTAGTGCCTCTTCCCTCGTGCTCTGCAGGTGCAGTATGTTGAATTTAGAGCAATAATTGATTTTCACCACTGACAAACTCACACCCCCACCCCCCTCCCCTCTCTTGCTGAAAACAGTTGCTATGAAACACACTGGTTAAAAAAAGAAGTGTGGAAAGTGTTTTCTTGATGCCACATGTTTTGGAGAGGAATTTGTCCACACTGATCACTCAAAATTACTTCAACTCTCCCCTAGCACCTGCCAGTATGTCACACTGGGGACCCCCATGGGCTCCTGTTAAATCAATTTATATGCACATCAACTCCTTCTTGGGAGGTAGACGGCACAAGCAGAGACTTGCTGCAGGTGGTGATGGGAGAAGGTGGGTCCAGAGCAGGCAGTTAACTCCCAGGGAAGGAAGATGACAGAGAGCTGAGCATCCTCCCTATGGTATCCCTGTGCTCTTTGTTTCTCCCTGCTGTTGTGTGCATATGGCTGTGTGACACTGACACACCTCATTTCTTTTGCCCAAAGTCTGACTGCCTGCTGGGTGTGTCTGCATCCAGTGGGGATTTGCTGGTGTGAGGGTACTCAGCCCTATTTGGGCTACTGAAGTCTTTGACCCTAATTCAGCAGTTCACACATGAGACACGAGGTTTAAGTGAGAAGTTTTGATGCGTCTCAACCACACCCTCCTCAAACATGGTTTTCCTTGGGGGACTGAATATTGGGGAATCCTTTCTGGATGGTTGCATTGAAGCTATGGCAGAGGCATGGAGCTGGAGCATGTCACAAGGAACTGCAATACTTTATGGGACCAGGAAAGGATGCTCACAGAAAGTGCATATTGACTTCTGCCTAAGAGAGGCCTTCAGGCAGGGATCCCCATCCTGACTTTGCAGAGCCGCTGCTGTGACACAGAGGAAGCTGCACTGTGCTAAGGCTGTGGCAGCAGAAGCACCAGGTCTGGGTCAATCACCTTTTCTCCCAGTCATGGCAACTATTGCTTTTGTGGTAGTCTCTGGCCCTACCTCATTCCCTGACATGGTGGTGGCTTGTTACAGCTAGAGATGCAATTTCACTGTTGAATGCAGTGTTGTTCCATTGACAGCCAATTCCATGACACATTCAAAAAACAGCCCTTCCTGGCTTTTGAGAGACTTTATTACATGCAGCAGTTTGTGATGGGTCTCTCCCTTCCTGATAGATTGGATTCAGCCTCAGAATGGATTTTACACTGCTGGAAAATAAAATCCACATTTATTTAAGATGCTTTACCCTTTAGATGACAGACACTAGGCAGAGATGAGCTATTACATCTCATAGAAGACTTTTTTCATAAAGAGCTGACCTCATGATGTGTCAATGTTGAAAGACTAATACAGGCTATGTTTAGAAAAGACATTTTCAGCAGGAAAAAAAAGCACCACAGTGCTGTTTTTTTCTATTCTTTCATTTTCCACTGTCTCATTTACAACAGTTTATTTCCCTGTCTTTCTTCAGGAATCTTGCCCTGCTCATGGCCACATGAGACGTTGCAGTGAGATGGTCTTCTTTGGCTTTGCAGATGGCACATTTCCCCAAGTGGCACATCTACTCTTTGCTTCCCCTCTTTGGGACTGCATCAGACATGAGTTATTTGTTTTTCCCATGAAGGTCCCTTCCCTTTCCACACGAGCTGCTGCTGACTAACTGCTGATATAGTATCTGCCTCCAGCCAATGAGAGATGGAAACTTCTTTGACCCAAACAAATACTTTTGTTCTCTTTAAATTTCTTGTAGTCAGTAAGAAATTTAATCTTGATTATTGTAGAAACTTACTTGAGAATGAGCAGGCCTACTGTTTGGGTCAACCCTCCCTCACCTCAGTGTGTCCAACTATCTATGCTGTAAACACCTACATTTATGACTCTTTAGTATGAAAAGAAGTAACTGCACAAGATTCAGCTGCTTAGAAGTAGACTGCTAGTGTCATTTTAGGTACTGTTGGGTACTGTGTTGAGCTGTTGCTATGGAAGGATGTGGATTTGTTGCTATGGAAGGATGTGCAGACCTTTGGGATATTCACAGGCATTTTAAAGGGTATGAGATACCCATGGTCAGACAGCAGAAGTTTGCCCTTAATGGAGAATCCTTGCTTAGCTAGCAAGACAGGGAAAAAAAATGTACATATTGCACTGTACTACTGTCCTAAAAGACTAGTTTCCTCAAATGTTTGAAGTATTTTCTATTATTTTGTACTTTAGGCAGATATTCATACCTGTCTGAAGTAGATTCAAAATACCATCTTGCTGGTCATGGAGTATTTAGCATTCCCTGAACATGGGTGTGAATATCTACCTTCTAGCTAGAAACCAGGACTATGACTCTCAAAGAAATGACTTAATTTCAAAATGAGGGGAATTTATTGTCTAACAAGGCAATAGAGAAGGCAGAAGATACTGCATTTGCTTTGAAAGAAAAGGAGACCTTGTAGACATTTTAGGGCAAATATTTACTGAGCTGTTGATAATTAGGAATGTATGCTGTCCTTTCAAAAAGGAGATGTGTGAGTAGGGATGAAGCATATAGCTGGTTAGAAAGCTGGTGTGATGCTGAAATATGCTCAGTTGAGTAGCTGGACAAAAATTTTAGGGTATCATTAGTGGGTCAAGTTCAGAGCTTTATGGAATAGTGGGAAAAGCAATGGAGCTACCCACAGACAGCATGCAGCACACATACCTGTGCTATGGCTGCTGTGAAACACACAGACCACTTTGTCATAGGTCATAGGAAGAACGCACTCAAGATGCAACCAGACTTTCTGAGAGAGAGGCAAACAGGAGGGACATAAGGTGGGAAAACCAAGACTAAGCAATAACCCTATGAGGCTTCTGTCCTGTGCCTAACAGCACTTTATACTTTCAGATAATGTTAGAACCAAGAAAAACATCCTTCTCATAAAACTGATGCAGTGACCAGCTGACCCACCTAGAAAAATGCAGTTCAGATGCTGGAGGCAGTAATTAAGTCAGAGCTGAATCTGTCATTGCATTAAATACACATGTCACACTCCTCAGTGATAATAACTCCCTGCTCATTAATAATTGCTAAGGATGGTCAGTCTTGACCAGCTGCTGAATTTCCTTAGCTCAATATAAGCAGCTTAGTTGGACAGGTTTGCGGGTTTGAGGGAGGTACACACACACAACCAACACATGTGCATGCATCAGCCTCCTGTGAATGCAACAAAACTCTATGAAAAAGGGTCAGTCAACTCCACAGAAACACTGTGGTGCATCACTGCACTAACACAAGTCTACCTTGTCTTCTTTATTTGGGATATGGTCTGTTAAAGGTTTAGGACTTGGGTCAGAGAAGGATTTAGATCAAAGACGTATAAAGGGGCATTTGAGTGATTGATCATACTCCCACTGAACCCATCATAGCTGTCCTGGGGACACACTGCAGTTTAAACAGTCTGACTGAGCCTTATTGCCTCAGTCATGGGAATCTCCATCATGAGACCAGATTTGTCCCTCCCTGTGTATGACCTCTCCAGTACATGGATGCAACCCCTGTGCCGACTCC